CAATGCTGGCACCTTCCCCTTACGTGATGAGGGCCAGCGATTAACCCCAAAAATCAAATTCAACTGTTTCAGCAGGCCATCTTGCCCTGTGACAAAAAATAAAAAAACTCACAAGTCAAGACATGATCTTCAAATCTAAGTTTAATAATAATAATAATAATCCTTTTTGTTATTATTAATAATAATACATCAATATAATTTCGGACTTCTAAAGTTTTTCTCTCCTGCCTCATGGGGGCGCTATTTTGCCACTTGCTGTTAGCTGAATATCACACCACTGTTGCTCAGGTATTGACCAGTCGTGGCTCAGCTTGCAAACGTGACCGAGCTCAAAACAGGTGTGTCGTGAATCGTGTTGCTTGAGCAACCGGGGTTGGTCATTGTCATTAGGTGACCTAAAAAAAACAAACACCCAAATATGAATAAAAATGAGGTGAAATTTTTGACCTCATTCAAATTCCACAAGGGCAATCTTAAATCAGAATGCAGGGTTTAGACGAGTAGGGGGCACATTAGAACATATTGTAAAGGCTTTTTTTTTTTTTTTGGATTGACTTCCCTATAAAATACAGTTTCGGCACTTTTGCCTCTGAAGGACAAGATGCGACTCCTCCTCCTGACTCCTGCCTGTCTGTTTGTCACGACAGCGCAGCTGAGGAACCAACTGAGGAAGATGTAGGTGAGGAAGGCAGCAGGTCCGGACAACAACATCAGCTCCCGGCTCCTCAGGACCTGCTCCGACCAGCTGTGTGACATTGTCCAGCACATGTTCACCCTGAGCCTGAAGCTGGGCAGATTTCCACAGCTGTGGAAAACTGCACCATATTGTTAGACCAGTCTAGCTTATTGTTGAGAACAACACCGAGGTACTGGGAGGTCGCCCCCTCAATGTCCATACCCTGGATGTTCATTGGTGCAGGTGAAGACTGTTTCCTGCCAAAATCCACAACCAACTGCTCAATTTTCCTGGGGTTCATCTGGTGTGTGTCTGAAGGCCCCAGTCCACAAAGTCCTCCATGAGACCCCTGTCCGTCAAAAGAGAACATGTTCTATTTCAGTGTTTGACTGAGAGTACAACGGTCATGATGGGACATCTGTCCATTTTATGTATACCTTGGCCACAGTGTGCCCGTTACATTGCACAATAAAAGACTTTTGACTCAAGTCCAGGAGTACAGAATCCTTATCCATTAAATCAACAAGGTACCCTTTAAATACTGTAAAAAGGGAGCTCATCTCTCTACTCGAAGCTGCATAGTCGAGACAAGGTAAGAGAAGTCAACTGTGCTCGCTGCCCAAAAATATAAAACTCAGGATATTGCTTTTGCATGATGACAATATGGAGAAATATTTTGTCTTTGAGTAGTACAGTGATGCAAAACTGATTGCATTTCAGATGGAGAAACTCTTGGTTTTCATGGTGATGCTTGCATCTTGTTATGCAGAAACCAAAGGTAGGTAACAGTGTGCATCATAAGCACACACCCAAAAAAGTGTGGTTCACTGTTCACAGATTGCTTTGTAGAATGGGCAGTCATAATTTTGCACCAAACAAACTTCTTTTTTAAGATGAGGGGTGGAAAAGGAAAATGTTAAACCCTTTAGTAGACAAGATGTTATAATCTCCCTCATGCAACTGGCACGGCCGAGCAAAGTATCGTGAATTGCGGCACAGCAAAGTGATAATACAAAATCAAAGCCAAAGAGGAAATGATCTGCTTTTTTGTCTCCTTGCACTTTCACCGTGGTGAGGTTAGCAGCCACCTGCAGATGCTTATAGACTCCCACTTTAAGACTTTTTGGGTGCAGGGACCCCTTATAGGGTTGAAATATTGGAAAGACCCTGCCACGCTACCCCTGCCTTTTTATTGGCGCGCCGGTGCCAATTATGGAGCTATATGCACCTTTTAACTGATACCACATCATTTATTGGACATTTTTTGCAGACCACTAGGGAACCTCATTTGAGAACCACTGATGGATACTCACCATTGAAAACATGTCTTGTCTTCCTAATTCATCTCATGACATCTTTATCCTTATTGTTGTGTGCAGATCTTTCTGGCAAAGTCCTTGTCTTCCCGAGGGAGACTGCCACAGATTATGTCAAATTGATGACACCCAAAACATCCTTGAGTGCTTTGACCGTCTGTTTCAGGTAACCACGGTATCACCAGCGGCCCTTGGCTTGCTTTCATTCACTAGTTTGAGAATAAGAATGACAAATTAAATCAAATGGAAAGAGCAAAATATTTATAGGCTATGCATGTCGCCAGTAAAAAACTCAGCTGGACTGATAGAGGATAAAGAATACATGCACATGTGTATTGTTGTATTATGTCTGTTTTTCTAACCATTTAGTTTGACAGTAAATTTTAACTAGGATTGGCAAAGAAATTGCTTTAACCCTCTTTAAAAAACAAAGGGTAAAAGTACTTTACACCAAAACTGAACTGTGGCATGTTTACTTAGATTCAAGACAGATCTCAGCAGGAACTACGCCCTCTTCTCTCTGGCCACACCGGCGATCAGCAACGACTTTGTGCTCTTCAAGACAAGTGACAACGACGTTATGAGGGTGCATGCTCGAAACGGCGGCGCAGACTTCAAGCCTCTGTCTTTTCCTCCCAATGCCTGGCACACCATGTGCACCACTTGGGACTCTGAAGATGGCCTTGCTCAGTTGTGGATGGATGGCAAATCCACCGACAAGAAGTTTATCCATTCAGGGCAACCCATCAGCGGCAAGCCTAGCACAGTCCTGGGCCAAGAGCAAGACTCTTACGGGGGAGGCTTTGATGCCAGTCAGTCCTTTGTTGGCATGATCTCGCGACTTCACATGTGGGACCGCGTCCTCTCTCCGCAGGAGATCCAACAGTACCAGGACGATTCATGCTTCACCCCTGGGAACGTGTTCAACTGGAGAGCTCTCGACTATGAAGTAGTTGGCAACATTTTGGTGGAGCAAGAGGTCATGTAAAAGAATTTAGCTGTGCAATCGGAATTAAAGTTGCCCGTTTTTTGTAAAAGTTGAAATACTGCATTCACAACTTTTGTAGAGGACGCGTCCTCCCCATGAAAAATATTCAAAGAATAAAAGATATTTTTCATCCAGACAAAAAGTGTACACTTTTACTCAAGTTAATATTTAAAAATGAGAAAACACGTTTTTCATTTGTCGTTCAACAATTTCATGTCTAACTTTCAACTTCCTTTCTTCATTCGTCCATTGAAACCAATTGATTCTGCAGCAACACAGCAAAACGACCTACTAGGATATCTGAACTTTTTTGGGAAAATCTGTAAAACCACTTTTGCTTTTTTTCAAATGAACTTTTGACTTTATTGTACAGTATGTCTCTCAACAATATTTCTTCATTTTTTTTTCCTCAAGTGGGCAATTGGTTCTGCAGCAAGACTGCAAAAAAAAAAAAAAAAAAAAAAGCCTACTCGAACATCAAAACTATTTGGGGTTATGCAGGGACACATTAAATGGTGGCAGTCGTGTGCTGAGTCCCACTTAATGCGAGTTTGGTTTGGTTAATTCTGAAGAGTCATCCTCAGCTGTGGACTTGTGCAACCACAGGATCTCGATGTATTTTGTACTTCAAGTCTCCCCAAAAATACTTTTTCAATTAAGGTGAACATGTTGTAGGTTATAAGGTTTGACAAAGTTTTTAAGTCACATTTTTTTTTTTTTTTAACATCAGAAATCTTTGAATTCAAACTGGGGTGGATGTACTTTTTAGACCCACCGTACATTCCACTCTTTACATCAGACCTTTTAATTGACCAAAAGCTACGGGCGAGAGAAGTAATTGGTTTGTTGGCACAGTGGTCCAGGTATGCACTTTTTTTTAAACTGCACAAAAATTCATTTCACATTTTGCAGACCCCCAGAAAAACAAATGATTCAAAAATATTCAGAGGTAGTGGTGGAGGCATGTCGGACATGAAATTGAAGCATACGGGGGATTTTTTTTTTCTTTAAGAAACTCTAGTTTAATCCCTTGAATGCATGAAAACGTCACCACCACATAAGTGAACCATGGCAGGAGGAACAGGCAGCACACATTGCATGAGAAGGCATTTGAGTGACTTCTATGTACATTATACACATTTGTTTGTACACGCATTTTGTAGAAATATAGTCATTGAAGCATATTGGACAACCAGCATTATTGGCTCATGTGGAAACATTCACGTAGAGAGAGAAAAAAAAAAAAGCAAGTGAGATCAACAACCCAAATCTGTTATGGAGAGAATACAATTCTATTTATCGCATCACAATCGGAAATAGAAAAAGTGAAGTAGTCACATACTCCCTTTTTTTATAGCTAAAGAGATTGAGAAATCCTTCAGGAAAGTACAATCACACAACTTCTTTCATTTCAAGCCAAGTCTTTCAAATAAATACACTTCTCTGTATCGTGAGCAGTGGCGGATTGTGGTTCACCTTGCTTCCACGTTGAACAAAATGTAGTGTCGCCACATTAAAGCACCAGAGGAGAATATTTCACTTGTGCGGCGGAGTCATGCGGAGGGAGAATGCATCCAGCCATTACTCAGCACCACCCGTCAAAATGCTCTATAAATACAGTTGAGTTGAGAACCTACGAGCTTCACAAGCTTAAAATGGAGATTTTTAGATTCCTGCTTTAACATCACAAATAGCTCGACTAGGCCAGTTACTTAAAAGACAGATCTACACGCTACCACAAAGGTAGTAAATTAAACTAGAATGTCACAGGAATGTGGTGATGATCTAAACATCCCCAGTCTCCACATTAATTTGAAAAAAAAAAGTCATTGGATAGACATCAATTTATCTTATCAGACATGAAACTAATCTGGAAAATAAACAAAAACAGTTTCAAAATCATCAAACAGGTCAAACCAGTGTTCTCACCATTGCCAAAAATGGATCCTGAACTTTTGCAAAACTATCTGCTCCGGTCCTCTCTTTGGTGCACCGAGTGGCTTGAAAACACACTAACACTTTTTTTTTTCAGTCCATAATAATTACAACTTCTCCCTTTCTGCTGCATAGACCACATGTGACTAAGATTGCAGTAGATGAGATGTTTTGCTCAAGTCAGCTTGCTATATTGTGACTGCCTGAGAAATCTCTCACTGCTGTACAAAGTAATTAGGGAAGAGGGGTCGTGACCCTGCCTGAACATGAATGTGTTGTTTTCAACAGCAACAAGACAAACACGAAACACCATAAAAGCAAAAACAAACAAACGAGAAAAAAAGCTGATGTTTTATACATACAGTACAATACAACAAAACACAGTTCATTTTTGGTCCAGGAGTGGTTTCAGGCAGGTTGTCATTTCTGTAACCAGCAGTAATGATCAACAACAGTCATTTATAATTTGTCTGTAGGCTCATTCAAGTCAACCACTGAGCCGTGGGAAATGATCCTGACATGGTCAGTATATGAAACTTTTTGACATTTTTCACATGCAAATCCAATTTGCCAACATGTGCTCCTGAATTTAAAAGATTTAAATAACCAAAAGGTGCAAAGGTGTATGAGGGCCACCCTGATTCGGGAAAGGAAAGTGTGACAGTGAAGTTATATTAAAAGACTCAATTTTAGGAGAAAAGAGGAAAAGTTATTCCTACGACCTTTAGGAACATTCAGTTTGATTTTTGCAATACACTTTTTAAAGTCAATTTACACATTAATAAAGCCCATTAATGAAAAGTTATTTGCAAAAAGTTATTTTTTCTCATAAAACTGCAACTTTTCCAATTTGACGATGCAAAGCTGCAATCCTAAGAATAAGGAAGCATTTTATTGAGGGGAAAATGACATCATTTTACAAGGGTCATAAAAATAGAGGCCTCTTTTCATGCTAAAGTTGTATTTTTACAAAAATGCTCTTCACCATGAGATTGCGACGTTCCTAATTTAACCCCCCCACCCCCAAAAAAAAAAGATACGCTCTTAAAAATTAAGTCACATTTTATGGGTAATGAAGTCATAATTTCACAAGAATTAAGAAGTTTTTTGATGATAGTTGTAATTTTGCAAAAGTCCTAATTTTCCCTCATTCGATAACACCTTTACAATTTCCACAAGCAAACTTGCAATTTTAGGAATAAAGTTACAATTTTATGATTGACCAAAGTACACTTCTCATTGAAGCCCTAATTTCACGAGAATTAAGTTGGCATTTTATGCTAAAGTTGCGATTGACCTGTTTCAACTGAATGACAAATCATTCAGTTGTGAAAATGACAACTTTGCTTTTCTAAATTCAAGCCCCTTTACTCGTAAAGTTAAGTTTATTTTCAATTTGGCCATGATCAGCCCCCCCAAAAAAGATTGTACTGTTTGCATGGGAAAAAAAAAATGCAGACAAATGACACGCAAATGGTAGCCAAATGGTTTCCACTGTAGTGATAAGGCAAGTATGTGTTCACTGTTATTAAAAAAGAAAAAAAAAAGGTCAGTTGTGCATCACATGGCAGATGAGGGGATAAAAATGCATTAGGAAAAAAAAAAAAGGCACTGACACGGACAAAATGAACACATTTGCAAAATGGTTGCCACCGTCAGCTTAATACTTGATGGAAGGGCACGGACTGGCTGCCAACTGCACTTCTCGCTATTCAGATAAAGATGTTTAGCGCATGTGGTCATATGCCAAAGACGTTCAACACTTTCTTCCATTTTAAAAAGACACATTCTATGATTGAGGGTGAAGGGGGCGTGTACATTCAGCACCACAACAACGTCTTCCGGCACAATTCATTCGCGTGAACACCTGATCGTCTAGCACTGGTTCAAGCCATCCATCTAACTAAGATTTCAACAAAACCCTCCACGATTTTAAGACAATGTGATTGCAATCGGACAGCAGCACGTGTTGACGGGACGCCTCTTATTCGCTGATAAGGGGCTAAAAAAAAACATGGGGCAGCTCAGGGCGAACGTGCCTGCGAGGAAGGTACCTAGTGTGCTGTGACAGGAAGACGAAAATCAATGACCCCACTCGGACGTACTTCAGTGCGCACTGCTCCCGTCTGTGCCCCCACACACACTCCACGTGATGCTTCAACAAGTGACTCCTCACCATTTTGTGACTCTCACGCTCCGCAAACAGGGAAAAAGAAAAATCAAATTCTACAATACAAAGAAATAATTGTGGCAATCACCCTCATTTGTGGTGTTTTGAGACATGTGTGACAGTGTTGATGGCTCGGAAAGACTACATACACGCACACACAGCAGCGTGGAGCCCCGTCTCTGCGTTTCCTCCACCACGCAACTTCTTCCAGCAACACCGGTGTGTTTCAAATGGGAGCGCTGGGGAAACAGGTGCCGCCGGGATTCTGACTTGGATGGCCTGCTTTTGCCGTCTTTATCCTTCACTGTGCCCAGTTCGCATCTTCCAGGCGTATCTCCTCTTGGGGCACTTGGTTCAAATGTTTACTGTGAGGATTTAAAAAAATTAATAAAGATGAGAAAACATGAGGTGGGAGGGCATTGAATTACAATTCATATACAACTGAAAGAAGAAGTTTAGATGCTATAAATCCCCCCCCCCCTTCACCATCTGACTTGAAATCAGACGAAACTTTTTTCCTACGTAATTTGACATCAAAATGATTTGCATTATCCAAATGCTACAATAATGAGGGACCCCCACCCCCCTGCCAGACAATTAATTATTTATTACTTTCTTCAAAGTCAGAAGTTTTGTTACCAAAGCCTTAAAACTGTATGGCTCACTGTCAATTTGGAAGACCCATACATGCGCAACTTTCAACTTCCTGTCTGATGTCATGAGATGTTGATACAGTATTTCCACATAATGTCCCTTCCTCGTGATGCCATCTATTTGGTGAAGTGCACGTAGCAAGACAACCTCACAACATGATGTTGTCACTCCTGGAATGGTGTTCTCAGGCCTGCAAGCTTCCCCATTATTCCCCCCAAACATAATGGTGCTCATTTTAGTTTAATCAGACCACAGGACACGTCTCCAAAAACGTAGGCCTTTGTCACTGTGAGCAATTGTAAACTCTAATTGGATATTTTTTTGAAATATAAATGTACTAAATATTAAATATACTACAACTTTGAAAATTTGGATGTCATATCAAAAGATTAGAGGAGGTCAAATGAAGTTAAAGAAATCTCAAAAATGTTCTTCAAGTACCTTTTTTTCCGATGTGTTAGATTAAATTAGCACCTCCTCTCACTTTGACAGTTCCTTCGCACTAAAATGCCACTAGATGGCGCCAAGCGATATTTTTTATTATTAGGCCTCAGCTCAAAAGAAGCAAACTAGTTGCATTTTTTTCCAGTAAATAACAGACAAATCCCCACGCAAATCCACAAATAGGGGAATTCAGGAATGCCGAACTTCAAATAGTCAGTGGTTCAAGGTAATGTATTAATTAAAAATTCAACAACATCCAGAAACGGATTTAGATATTAGCACCAATTTAACAGAGACAATTTAACTTTTTACTTACTTCCTAAATACTAAACTTATTGCACAGTGAAATGATGTCAAATTGTTGGAACACCCTGTATTATGTTAAGTTCTTAGGAGGATGGTGGTCAGACATACAAAATTGATGTTGGTCTCGGGGATGATGTCCGACAATGAAACTACATCTTCACTTCCGGACAGGTGGCCTGAATTGTCTGCGCTGCCCTCAGTCTCGAAGCTGGAACACAAAACAAGTCAAATTCAAGAAGCCATCTATATCTATAGATATAAATATACACTGTATCTACTATAGGCATGTTAAAACTGGCTTGCGTGTCGCTACCTGTGAAAAGCACCTTGTTCATAGTCTGTGTGAGCTGATTTGTGCACCTCCACCCCAACAGACCTAGACATTAGAGCAAGATAATATTAAAAACACCAATTGAGTAGTAGGACTAGACCAGCAACAGTGTCTCCCAAACTCTGAATCACTCTCGCGATGAAATTCTAAGTTAATGATTATTTGTTAAAAGCAATCAGTTATATTATTTGGAAGAATCAAGTGAAATTGACTAGTTTCCAACAGTACGTGTGATGATCTCTCGCCACACATGAGTACAGTGGTTGGGAATCACTGGACTAGGAGGAAGGAGCAAGAGCAATTACTTCGGCGATTTTTTACCTTAGAGGAGGAGAGGAAGCAAGTTCTAAGCTGCCTACTGACGAGGTGGAGAGGTTGGCCTCGCACTCAGCAGTGTTGTCATGCAGCGGTGGGGTCCTGGGAACCAAATCCGGTCTGCCTGGCTGAACTATGAAAAGCAAAATCTAAATTAGGCAACGGAACTGCTGCAAATGCCAAATTGAGCATGTCTCTCGTTGCTTCAGTACTTACCGCTGTCTGCTTCTGACTCTGTGCTTTTAAAATGTGCGCGGTAAACCAGTCTGGGGTCCATGGCTGAATGCCCCGTTGTGTGAGAGAGTGGGGTGGGAGCTCCCAAAGTGGGAGCCCTCCTAAGACCTCCTTGACCTCCACCACGGCTCTTCTTAGATGGGGAAGGCCTTACTACAGAGGACAGAGGATGTACAATTGACAAGCACTGCATTTCCTGTGCTAATAAATCACCAATATATCCCTCCCTGCAAGTAACTTTAAAAACCAAACACAGACGTGCACTTACATGGAATTTTCTTGAACACTGTACTGCACATGAACTGCTGGAAGCGGTCTGCGTAGAAGCCAGGTCTGTGAACTGAAACCGTGTCCTACAATGGAACAACAACGACAAGGCTCCAGCTAGAGAATATTTTGAGAATTTATTCTACCAATTTTCCATCAAGAAATTGGACACAATTGACTTTGCACGATTAATAAACAACAATACCAATAGAAATGTATTTCTGCCCAACTGGGGTCGCTGTCCTCTCCTCCTACCTGGTATCTGTGACTCTAAATATGTGTGACTTTAAAACACAGGGCCCGGCTTTATGAGTGACGTGTGGGTCGATTGAGTCAGAGTGTACTTGGCTGTTGTTAGCTCAGGCTAGCCAGTCTGCATTTTGAGTCCCCGGGCGTCAGTTATTGAAGTTGCAGATGGTGTATGAATATGCTTGTGTATATTTTGTTCAGTAGCATTTGTTCAGTCAAGTGATTGAAAGTGCAGTGGTGGCTGTGTCTACACGTAACCCCTTGTGGGGGCATTACAATATATTCTACAGAGGTGACAGGCAATATTAAACAAACGTGAACAGCGATACTTCTTTGTGTTGCTGATCATAGACGTGCTGTTGTGGTACGCGAGTTCTGCTTTGGTGTTGACACAACGCACTTTATCTTGGTTTTGAGTGTGAAATTATTCTAAGTAGCCCACCCTTCGGATTTTATCTGTCTTCATGCACTCGTTCACCAAGCAGTTTGAGAGTCTGCGGTAACAGCCCGTTTCGAAAAATGGTCACCGCGAAGCCGCAAAAGGAGGGATTTTGCAAACGTCAACTATTTTCATAATCAAATCATTTGAGCTCTTTGATTTACTCTTGCAAATGATAATTTTGTCCTGTAATCTTCTTACGATTGAGCAGGATCTTACCCCATCATGCACCAATGCCTTCCAGGAGTGTTCCAACCTTTTAACAAATCTAAAGGTAGGATGAAGAAAATGTTACACAAATGCCACAAAAATAGCACGCAAGGGGGAGATTTTCTCTGGAGTCAGATACCTGTAGGACTGGAGTATGTCTATGATGCCAATGTAGATGAGTAACCGCTCTCCTTTTCCATTACGAGCTGGAATGCCTCCCATGCTGCAAAGCCAAAATACAAGCGATGATTCAGAGGTTGCAGATTCCCAACCAACAGTATGTTGAGGTTCAGAAATTCAACTCACTGGTCTTCAGAATCCAAAGCGCCCTTTCCACGAGCCTCACCCTGGATGGACTCCATGGCTGTACAGTACAGACTTTTCTGGGCTTGAGGCCGCCGCTGATCCGGCGTCACCGCTCCCTCCGACCCACCACTGTCCCCGGAATAGCCCCCGGCACGCTCCCGATTGGCCTGATCCATGTTGTGAATGCCCATCAGGAGACTGTAATCCATGATCTTGAAACTCTGCAAGAGCTTTATAATGCACACATACAAACTTTAAATGGTCGGCATTTTAAAGTCAGGACCTACATGAAAAGTTAACACGCTCGAGTATTTTTCAGCAACATTGGAATGCTTGTGTGTGCATTTGCAAAACCCCATGGCGTTACATCCCACCCTCCAGGAAATTTAGCACATCACAAAGCAAAAGAGGCGATCATATTGCAAGCAAATTATTATCAGGTTTGTTTTTTTTACCAATTACTAATCACATCATTTTGAATATGATAGCTAAACGCTTTAAAAGTACAAGAAAACAACTCTAAAATGTTTTTTTTTTTTTGAAACAGACTCATTATTGTCAAAGACTGAGAGCCCCCTGGCATTGAAGATTCAAAACAAGGCAGCTACAGAGAGGCTCGTCAGGTTACCTGATACGATCACATGAGTGTGTTGATGTGATCTTTTTTTCATGCATCAACAAGTAAGACTGCAATGGGCGAATTTGCAAGAGCTTTATAATGCACACATACAAACTTTAAATGGTCGGCATTTTAAAGTCAGGACCTACATGAAAAGTTAACACGCTCGAGTATTTTTCAGCAACATTGGAATGCTTGTGTGTGCATTTGCAAAACCCCATGGCGTTACATCCCACCCTCCAGGAAATTTAGCACATCACAAAGCAAAAGAGGCGATCATATTGCAAGCAAATTATTATCAGGTTTGTTTTTTTTACCAATTACTAATCACATCATTTTGAATATGATAGCTAAACGCTTTAAAAGTACAAGAAAACAACTCTAAAATGTTTTTTTTTTTTTGAAACAGACTCATTATTGTCAAAGACTGAGAGCCCCCTGGCATTGAAGATTCAAAACAAGGCAGCTACAGAGAGGCTCGTCAGGTTACCTGATACGATCACATGAGTGTGTTGATGTGATCTTTTTTTCATGCATCAACAAGTAAGACTGCAATGGGCGAATTTGCAGTGCCTCAGCAGATAAATCCGATGCTTAACGGTCATCATTTCTATTGCTCTTCTCCAAAGTATGATTCGTTGCTAATCCAACATCTGAGATGCCTTCAGGCACCTCGATACTTTGAAAAAAGGTAGCATCCCACAAAGTAAGCAAAGGATTACTATTTAGTTTCGCTCAAGAACAAGTTCTCTTTTAAGCGCTTGAGTCATCAGCCACTTTCGAGAACATCATTGTTGAATACAAAATTCATGTCATAAAAAAATAAGTTTGGGTTTAAAGAAAAAGCTTTGCTGTATGAAGTGTGGGGTAGGGACTTCCATTGGTATGAAAACAGGCGTATATAAGACCAAGGCTCCAATTATGAGGGCTCACATCACAATTTGCACGTTAAAAAGAACAAGAAAAAAACACACATACACACAAAAAAAGAAGAATCTCCATAACTTCGACTAAAAACTAAGACCAAACTTAACTCCTCCCTGGCATATCCGTGACGTTCATTGGCGTTGTATAACTTCAACATACTTCTTTAAGACCTACTACGATATTTTGTTTAGTCAGGGCTTTTGGGACCATCTTGTGGTCTCTTAGGTCATAAAAAGGGCACAAAAAGCACAGATTCGATTTTTTTTTCTTCAGAAAATAGTGCAGGATAGTTTGCACTGAAAAAAAATTGCATTTGTAAATTGCGAACCGTAAATAGGTTATTAATAATTGTATTGTATTTGTTTGTAGGGAAAATTATCAAACACCTATATCCATGATTTAAAAAAAATACTGTACATTCATTCATTCATTTCGAATAAAGTGCTCGTCAAGCAGTTTATGAAGCAACAACTCTAAGCTATCGGATGACGAAATATTTGATAGTATTTAATGCGGTGGTACATTTTATATGAATACAATTCCATACTCTGAGAGATATTTCACAGCATTATTGCTAAATAAAAACCAAAGCGTAGCACTTCATGACTCACCAGGCAGTCCCTCTGTATTGTCTTGCTAAGAGCATTGTAATTGTCTGCTTCCAGCTGCAGGCCATCGGGCAAATCCTGGATAAAGTCGAGGTCTTTGTACGTGGGAACAGCTTTCTCTCTCTCCTTCGGCGACGCCCGTCTCTTATAAGTGGATCCTTTCATGTCGTATTTGAGGTGCATGGGGATTATCCGGGGTAGGAGATTGTTCATAACAACTATGCGAATATTCTTGCCCCCTGCCTGGACGCAGTACAGACCGTAGAACTTGGGCAGCAGTGTGCGCTTGTTTTGGTTTATGTTCTAGAGGAAAAACAAGTTGTGTGAAGACCTGAAGTTGAATGAAGTTACTGAATTTAATGACTAAGACTGCATCACGCTCACCATGAAGTATCCAGGAAGTAGCTTCTGGAGAAACTCTGCCTCTTTGTGCTGAACAGTTTTAATGATGAACTCGTCATCGCTGGAGACATAGAAGAGCGATCCACTGGCTCCGGGGTTGGACAGCTCAATCAGTGGCTCGTTACACAGAGAATACTTGAAAAGAAAAACAAAAAAGAGTCAGCTCTATTAGTACTCTGTCAAAAGAGATTCATCGCTTGTCCTTAATGATTCTTTAAAAAATAAACATTAAAAAAGTCAAGAAAAAAGTGTGTGTGTGGGGTGGGGGGGGGTTGATGAGTGTTTGACTGCAACACCTGTTTTTCTGAATATTTTGTGAATTTCCTCAAGTACTAACCAGGTAGTCATCGGGCCGAATGCCAAACAGCTCTCTGAAATAACGGAAGGCAATGGGAGCGTAGGTCTTAAAACGGAAATCGCTGTAGTGATGAGCTGGAGTCAGGTTACTGCCTTCACTGGAGACAAATCAAGACGCAGTGAGACAACTGACAAGAATAGTATATACAAAACCTCATATGTGCTACCAACCTGGGGAAAAAGATGCTTTCAACGACCACAAAATCTTGCATGAGTACATCCCTCTCGGCTTTCTGACTCAAGCTGCCGACCGTGTGAGTAATGCCCAACTGAATGGCACCTTTGAGGGCAGAGGAAGTTGTCTGCACCAGTCAGAGAAGAAGCGACGTTAGCAGAGTAGATTCCGTGAACCCCTACGCTGTTGCTGGCGTTAGCTAACCAGTGTCACTGACCCCCCACACCAACCCGCCTCTAACCTTTTTGTAGGTAGTCTCTCCGGTGGTGGTCTCAACGCCCCGGTGGCCGATGGTCTTTTTCATACTCTGAGTGGTGCCTGAGGAGCCGGGCATCTGAACAGATGAGGGGGGGAAAAGGCTTTCAAAAAGGGGCTGGTGAAAGCTACATGTGTGAAAGCCGTGCTCTTTGGTTCAGTCTACAGTGACCCACCAATACCAACCAAATAGATCAATACATGACATACATAAAATACAATTTCGCTCATTTTGCAGTGAAAAGTGTACTGTTCTGCGTGACATTAAATTTTAGACTCTTTCTTGGTGATTTTAATCCTTCATTCTGCCGCTTTGCCGGCCTCACTTGGCTTCCATTACCGACTGTTCTTTCAACCAATCCCCACATTCCTCCATATGCACTTAGGCTACGGCAAGCGATGAGGGACAAGCATACTTAGCATTTTGAAATACAACAAAAAAATTGCGGACAAACACATCCAGCTGAACCACATCGCCAACATGGACGAGACATCGTGGCGAACCACACTGTAGAGAAGAAGCGGACCAGCATGGTGGCGATACGCTCAACGGGGCGTGTGAAGTCGGCTTTTACTGTTGTGCTTGGTTGCCATGGTAATGGACAGAAACAGCCAAAGTGAAGTTGCGAGCAGTGTGGGAGCGATGGCCAACACAGCTTGACAGAGACCGGGAGGCAGTTACGCCACAATTTGTGAATGGATTGTGGATGCTTGGGCTAACGTGTCTGCTTGCACTGTTGCTCGAGCTTTTGCAAAAGCCGGCATCATTTCTGAGGAGCAGCACGGCGACCAGATTGACTCTGACAATAGCGTGAGGGAGCCTGCCGTGTTTGATTGTGAACTTGCCCAGTTGTTCATTTCTTATACAGAAGATTAGGACTTTGATGGATTTGAGGATGAGGATTGATCCAAAAAAAAAAAAAAAATAACGTGAGTACATTGTTTAATATTTCACTAAAGTACAGCCAAACTCAGTTTTGCTCCCACTGGCTTTTTAAAAACATACGCTAGCATGCGCGCATGCTACCCTTTTTTTAATATAGCATACATTTTACCCTGCCCGTGTCCAATAATACAACTCGGCTTGTGTATGTGTTAAACACAGAAATAGCACCCGTAACTGACACTACACTTTTTAATACGGCGCGCCGTATGCTCGTGAAAATACACTACAAACTATCCGATTGCCTGGTCAATATGTAGCGCTAAGAGAGAGACCCATCTCGAAATGAAATGGAATCTAGCATGTAGGGCAGCATGTCAAACCACTGAACAGTCTGAGCACTATTTTTTAATTCACCACATAGTTTCAGCGTGCCAAGGGCTGCATCAGCTGGTTTGGACTGGTATGCGTCACACTGGCTCAATCAGTCGACCAGACGAGTCAAACAGGAACCAGTTATATTTCTGATATGATTAAGAATGGCTCTGTACTAACGGTTATCTGATGACTGCGGGGTAACAACAGCCATTTGGATGAACACGGGAACAACAAAATGATGGCTGTAAACTCTTCATGTGTGTTGTCTTCTAGCTTTAGAGAAATACTTTTTGTTTTATTGACCTGTACACATTCACCCAGGATCAGATTTCACAGCAGTAAAAATAGTGTGTGGTGCTAGTGGCTGGGCGCAGTCTTTTTCTGTCAGATTAAAATCACATTGTAAAACAAACCCAAACAAAACAACAACAAAAAAAATGTAAGTGACCATGTGCAGTAAATGTAATACGTGACTGTGACATACAATGAGGCGACTTTCTTGACGCAGAGTCAAATGAGCAAGGTGGTTTCCTGTATGGTGTCAACAACTGAACTGATGACTGAAATACAAAGGAGATTGCTTCAACACTGGACAGGACATCTCTTGCGACAAACTAATGAACAGGCAAAAACAAATTATTTCACACTGTCAAGGAATATTAAATGCAATGTGTACCACAACAAACACTACTATTGCCAACGCGAGTGTGATGTATTGATGTTAGTTAATTTAATATAGCCTACCATCGTTAGTTAAAATCCACCGTAATTCTCCAACAAGTGTTAAAAGGAACACTTATTGCCGATGAACATTCAACCTTAACGCCACACAGATTCACTGACACCCACATCACTCACAAATTCAGGCCCTACCTTTAAAAGCCAGACACACTGAAAGCCACAGATGCTAGAGAACGATGTGAGGATGCATAAATATATTCCGATCCAATTTATCAATGGGATGATTAGCAGAATACTTGACTACACTGAAATAACACTGACTAGCCCGACTGCTGATATCATCCACTACTAGGCCACGCCCATAACTGGCAGACACACAATCAACACATCAATATTACAGCATCACAGCATGTATTTTAATTTCCTTTTACATAATTGATTTCTTTACATTGTTTTGTGATGCATTATGTTTTTGTACAATATAGTGCAATTTTAATTAAATAATTTCTGTTTTGGTGGTACTGGAATTGCATTTGGGTTCACATCATTGGGAAAAATTGATTTGTTGTTTTCACGAGCTTGCTAACGGAACCAATTAAAATCCAAGTCAAGGTACCACTGTACTTTACTCGGAGGTGAAATACAACATGTGTACATGCTGCCTTCTAATTGCGCTTGTTTGGGTTCCTCCAACATTTCAAAACTCCATATGCGTGCCCTTTACAGTTGTATGTTATTAAGAAATGCAAATACCCTTCCAAAGTGTCAGTACTGTGATTGACGAGTGTTCTGTCCCGGGTTTGTCCTTACCTCCGAAGGGCCTCCTTTGAAGATGCCACTTGTCCCTGAAAGACAAAGCAAACTTGGATTTACAACATGAGAGACTCAGTTTCACCTTGCCCTCTGCTTGGGGAAAATCTGTTAAATGCCTGCTGGTGAATGATCTATTTTCAGCACGGGATGCTCTTGGGTGACAAATGGGGTCAATAATGAGCCCAGACCTAAATGTGGCGACATTTACCAGCTACTGCTTCTGATACCAGCAGCTCGATGCAAACTGGAACTACTTTTCCCCTGAGCTGCTTGCTCCAGATTCAGCAGGTCCCTGAGGTGTTTTCTGCAATTACCACCTTCATTAACTAAATACAGCTTCTACCGCAGACTGGAAGTTGATTCGATCTGTTGGTGAAGAACTCTACTGGATAGATTTTTTTCCCCCCTAATGATCAGATACACATTACTGTTATCCATGCTATTGACCACAGCAAGCACATGTTATTAGTGACACACAGAAGCGGCAGCTCCATCGTTTTCCATGCCACCAGGCAGTCCATTATGATCAAGTAACTACAGCCTATAATTATTATGTTTTCACAGGTTTGACTTGGGCATGACAGTGCGTCAGCCACTGCTTAAAAGCGTCTCTTTTGCCCTGAAATCTCAGACGACTAAACTGCCAAGTCATTGGCAGACAAACTCAGTGTGACGTGGCTATTATGTAAATTAGCCAACCCACGACCAGACAGATTTTCCGAAAAAAAAAGGCAGATAGATTAACATTTAGTAGTTGGTGAATCTGACACTTGCATTACTTGAAGGTAAAAAAATAGTCAACTTTCCATATGTTCCCTCTCATGTACAAAGTAACACTGTATGTAAAACTATCCCAGAACCGTGAAAATACCCTAAAAAGCTTCCAAACTCAAAATTTCACTTGTCGTTATTGTGCACGTCTTAGTGAGATTTTAGCTCAGTGAGAATCTAAATATTCCAAGAGCGTGTTTTTTATTTATTTGTTTTTTTTTATGTTGCCACCACAGAAATTCACCCATTATGGCAGAGAAGAAATATGGCAACATCAACAGAACTGAAAATGGAAACAGCAGCAGCAATAACAGTCCATTGTGTCTGAAACACTGTTTATTATTATTCGTCTGGCAAAACATACTCTTTTGGGGAGCCTCAAAGTCTCTGAAAACTGACTTCTTTTTCGCAAGTGAGTGTAGCCAAGTGAAAATGAAAATGATAAAGTCCCAAAACACAACCTGCCCAGGAAACTGAAGAAACAAAGGAGGTCTCAAATTGTTTTCCATGGCGGGAAAAATAGGGGTTGAACCAGTAAAGACTTTTTGTAGTCGACAATTTGATGAAAGTCAAGTCAAAGTTGACTAATCGATGAGATTTTGGATGTTTTTTTTTCTGAACAGTAGAGTGGTTCCGATCAGTGACACCAAAACTAATGTCAAAATTTCAACTAGCAATCACAGCGAATGTACTTTTTGTAACTATGAGGCGCTGCCCTTGCTTCATACCGACAGTTTCAGAGTCACGCTGGAATGAATATTTTAAGACTAGTGGCAATCGGTATCGCCGATAGCTGACAGCTATTCTCATCCGCAATCATTTTTTTTTTTTTGCATACTCTTGGACCGATGCAGACATGAGACGTCGCCTTGTTGGCCGGATCAAACACTGCTCCACAGAGTGTTGTAGTCCGGTGACGTCAGCTGACAGGACAGCCAAAAGTCCCTTGTAAATTGGCTGATTGGAAGTCGGCATGCCAAAAACCTAAGCGAACACTTGATTGACAGCTTTAAATTTCAATATGGAGATGTCCTGCAATTGGCTGGCAACCAGTTCAGGGTGTCCCCCGCCTACTGCCCGAAGACTGCTGGGATAGGCTTCAGCACGCCCTGCGACCCTTGTGAGGATAAGCGGGTCAGAACTTGGACGTCTTCTAATCATCAGTTCAAAAATTAATATGTACAAGAATAATTTATAGATCAGACCGTACGTAATTCAAAAGAACTATACTCAATGTAATTTCCTGACATAAACGTTGCATTTAACACTCCAGTGCTTTCTCGCCCACTCTGAGAGCACCTCTCGCCTGTAACCAGTGGCAACAGCTACGGCACTTCAATGCAGCGGTGCCGCAGGTCAACAAATGCAAAAGGATGCCGAGATGATTGTACACCTGTAGGAACACTCACGACCACATTCAAAGACAGAGAGGGTACTCCAAGCTAAAGAGGAATGTTAATAAGGCACGGTCACCTGCTTGCGATTAGCTTGGCCGCACTCACATTTATTCCACTGAGTAAACAATGAGCATCATTCTCTAACCCTTTTGTTACATAAAAGAGCATCGCCTGCCATGCACTTTCTGTTCACGCATCAAGACACATGCCCAGGCCAGTACCTCGCTGCAGCGCTCTCCTCCAGAAATGTGTCCTAATATCTGGAAAGCAGGACATGGCTCAAAACTCACATTTGATAACAAAAACACGGGGCTAGGGGAAACCCTAATTGATATCTCTTCCCTAATATGTATCTTTTTTTTTTTTTAATGCCACCACACAAGGGCCCTTGCACTGGGAAATGAGCGACGATGACACTACCAGAAATCGTTGCCAAAGTTGGTGCTGCACATTTAAGGGGAACCCCCCCCCCCCACACACACACACACACACACACACATTTAACAACAACAACAAAAATCAGCAACAAACAAGATTCCAGTTACATTGATTCACCTTTTGCAGACTAAGACCTAGATGACTGAGAATTTAAACAAATTCAAAGAAAAAAAAAGTTGAATTGATATCGTGACACCAAGTTAACAATGATTTCAGCAAATATCATTTTGGGAAATCTTGTCTAGTTGACAATTACATTTTTATTGTTTACGTTTTAATATTTTTTATACACGATAAATAGAGCGCCATTTTTCTAAAAAACAGCAGCGTCGGTCACGGAATAAAATTAATAAAAGTCATTGTCAATGGCTTTTTCCATAAGCGAAAGAATGGGGAGAAAAATCAATTGAACAGACGGCAGGAAAAATAAACAAGGCTTACTGGAACACATTCGCATCGAATTGAATAATGAAATCCTAAGAAAACATAACAATAATGCGTAAAAAGAAGACGATGTGTGGGTGGGGTTGGTTTCGCGTGGAAAAAAAAGTCCTTTTTTTCAACATAAGGTTGTAATGAAACAGCAGAAAGCCGAGGCGGAGTAGCAAGGGTGACACGGCAATCGAGAGCTGTTTACCGTTAGTCGCTTGGTTGGAACACAAACAAACGAAACAAAATTTAATCACAAAATAATGACATGGGAGTCTCCAAGCTCAATGTAAAGAGTCCCTGGATCCAGCTTTCTCCATATTACATCACGACAGAAGTGACCGGTTTGACAATAATATACAACAACGGAACCACAGTGCTCTTTGCTATTTAGCATAACGAGACGGAATATTTAAATGTCCTGTGAAGTGAAAACGAGCTTCGCCACAACTAACTGACTAAATTAAGACAGCTAACTAACTAACAAGGTAACTAACTAAACACCGGTTCATTTATTTGCTCGGCACTAGCTTAGCAACCTAGCCTCCCGGGGCTTGCCAAATTCAAAGGCACAGCATCCCCCCCATTGATCCTCATCCCTACAAAACGTCACACCGCTGGCTTCGGTAGGCTGGTTTATAGGTAACGAAGTATAAACACGTGTTGGCCAGATACCTGTCGGAACTGTTGATCCCGGGTCTGCTGTTCCACCAGCAGTCGCCATTATGGTTCGTTGGTTCCACTGCGCCGTTCACATTTCAGGCTGCCCAGCTGCATACTGCGGGTTTAATGGTTGACATCGGCACCACATTGCCCCTAGTGGAAGTAAATGGGAGTGTTTGGAATAGCCCCCTAGTGGATGGTACGTCTGCCATACAGGTCCGAGGTTCTGGGTTTGAATCTCGGCTTGCTCCCACATTCCAAAAACATGCATGCAAGGTTAATAAAAAGACTGACATATGAATCCATCCATGTTCTGCTTATCCTCATGAGGGTCTCAGGTACTGACAAAATGACCACTATTTTTTAAATTATCTTCCTTTCCAACACATTTAATTTTAATGTTTGTGTTAAAACAGTATGCATTTATTCATACTGATACTACAAACGAATGTTTTCATCCTGGACCATGCAGGCATTATTTTTACTTCTCATGACCAATTACATCTTTTCATTAGTCCAGTGATTTTTCACGGATTGTTTATTTGTCTGACGACAGACATGTCAAATCTTGCTGGCTTACTGTGATGAAAAACGGATTCAACCCAGAATACAAAGTCTATTTAGAAAAAAAACTTTATTAGAACAGTTTTACTTGTAATCTTGACAAGAAACCCATCTAAACAGAAGAAAAGTGTATGGTTTGAAAACAAACAACAAATGCACATAAATCTATATATAGGGCAGCCTTTAAAAAATAGTGGTACAGGGACACACAGACAATAATCTGGTTCATAAAGGATGTATTAAACAATTTAAAAATCTGTTTCTTTAGAAAGGCAC